TGAAATTCAGTAAGGAAGTTTCTCACAGTTCTCGAGTTTTTGACCTATATCACCTTTAAATCCACGTGGCCCAGTTGTCTCGCCATCAAGGTGTGTTATTAGATGCCGTAAAGGTAGTTCATTAAAATGGAAGAGGCAAATTAGCCACTGCAAGGGCCGACCCAATTCCTCTTCCATTAATCGAATCACGCCATTTTTGCATCCTGTATTAGTAACAGTACCATCGCAGCCGATAGCCACTAAGTCTGTTGTGTAAAATTTTTCATCGACTAAACCCTGGAGAGAATTCTTAATGCCAAGATCAGTACCGACGATTGGGGTCGTGTGCCCTACGTACCTGGATCCAGGTTCCTCTAAAACAGCGACATGCTCTTCTGAGATTGTTCTTCGGTGAAATACCTCACCTTCTTTTTCATTAACTAGCGTTTTGTCCTTGCGGCCATCAAAAAATAATCCTAGTAATCTCGTTCTGTTCCCGCCTTCGTTTAATAAACGACGTTGTGCCTCTATTGCCCTCCTTACTTTCATTCGATCGATCGTCATGGTAGGATTAGTTTTTGTTATCAGACCAACATCTTCCAACACGGCACTAGCAATTATTGCAGCTGCACCATTTGACACCCCTGTTCTGTCGCAAGCAAGACCAAGAGAAGGCAATTTGGTCCTCATTTGCGATGAATGGCTATGGCTAACCGTATTTAAGGAAGAGGGACCTGCTTCTTCACAATTAAATGAAGACGTTGCTACATCTAATGACGGAGCATTTGGTCGACCCCTTACAGAATTTTTGCCATCATTGGAACTGCTGCAAATAAATGCATTTTCGTCAGTAATTTTAGGAAGTATTATAAATTCTCTACCTTACCTTTTGCTGGATGTTCGTTGAAGTTTGTAAGCATTGAGTCGAGCATCTGCTTTTGCCTTTCGCTGTTCGGCAGACTTTAGCTTTTGGGTTGTTACGATATCGACCGATCCGATAGCCATATTTCTGGTGGTTCTTTGATCTAACAAGAAATCTTGCTCCATAGCCGGTACTCTATGATATTTGTCGCATTTACAAATTTTAGCCCCGCATTTGCAAGAAGCAATATCGAACAAACGAGATGCTTCGCCCTTAAATGATTCAATACGTTTTGAATGCATCTTTTATCAATTTAAGATTTTTCTGTAATTTCTTATAACGCCCATGAAAATCTTTTATCATATTCCAAATTCTACGACGCGAAACCGTAGGAATAGATGCACTTTTCCAAACATTTTCAATTTTCGGTATTATAATTTCTAAAATTTCCCGAATCGAAGGATCTTTTGAAGATTTCTTCTCTTTGAGCTCGTGTTGAACGAATAAATAGTACAACATTACATCACGGTAGGTCGGTAAGACACGAAAGTCTAGTTCTTTAGGATCACCAAAAATTTCACAACGATATTTACTTCTAGTAGACATGACGCGCGCAAAGGTGTATTACCACTTAGCAACTGACGACAAAACACTATATAGTGTAGCGAGGTCCGTGGAAACAGACAAATTCCTTCCCCCTCGCCTATTGGCGTCTCTGGAATGGTATTCTTATCTACAACTCAGCTAGAAATAGGCGGGAAACGGCTAAATTATACGGAAACTTTAAGGCCGATTAGGAACCTCAGGATATCTTTTGTTTTCATTGAGATTTTGTACACTTCATTTTCTTAACTAAATGTACGTTTTAAATGCTATGACGGGTAGATATTACAAAAAAATTTTTTTCGTTCCACCCTTGTCCGGGTTTATAATCCCTAAATCCGGGGTTTTCATGCTTCCTGTCCTAGTTGGTAGAGTTTTGAGATGGCAACCCTATTCATCTAAAGATTATTGGTAGATATTTGTATTTCAGTGCCGTGAGCAAAGAGTACCTGTGTCAACCACACATTCGAATGCAACCTGCAACAGTGTAAATAGAAAGGGTTGGAATTTCTAGTGCATTGCTTTGATCTTTTTTGACATCGCTTGAATGGATCTTTTGCTGGCAAATCAAAGAAAAACATTGACCAATCAACAATCAAGCAGTATCCAGTGTTTTATTTCTAAACCTACCCCGGTTTTTTTACATCCGTATTTCTGCCTGCAATATGCATTAACATGTGTCTATACATGCAAGCGTAGCTATCTTTATTTTCCGCCCAGGACAAATTCATTACATTTTTACTGTTACCAATGCTCTGATCCTTATCTATTAGAATGACACAGAGGGCAGAGATTTGTTGCTGCTTAAAAATTATTTCTGCACTAATGCTATTTTGTTAAATTTTTAATGTCAAACAAAATGTGAGCATAAAGTGGAATAAAGAATATACTTTTATGATTTTGTTTTCTACATAAAGATCGCGAACATTGGAAATAACACATTCAATTTTGCATATTTCAGACCTCTTTAGCATGCTACGCCCAACTGAAAAAATGAGATTTTCTAATTAATTAAGGAGATAGAAAAGCTTTGGTGTAATTTTTTATTATACCATGGGTGTAATTATTTAGACTGCAACCGTTACAAAATGGAAACTGGTGCTCAATTTTAGGGTAAGAATTCCCCAAAGTTTTAATGAAAATTCAATGTCTTTAACGATCAATTTTAGTTACGACATTGAAGTTTACTAGGAAACAAAATTGAAAGACGTTCTGGAAATATTCCTTTATATCGTTACAATTCGTGAAGTAATGTACGTGCCATGTGTATCTTACAAAGGTAACAACTCCGTATAAAATTTACTCCAAAAATGCACGATCCAGTTCTTGAAATCGCACAAAGAATCTCTTCAGATATGCAGAATAAGGTCTGCTCTTATAACTCGGTAAAAATTCAATTTCAACGCACTAACATTGGTGCACAATGGTTCACAAAAAACCTCTCTAACAGTAGAAACAACTGACCCAAGTAGACTACATGATCGCTCGCAAATTCCTCTTCAACTCTCACCCCGTAAAAATACCGAAACGAGCCCTATTTCTGCAAAAAAAAACAATCGCGAGTAGGGTACCCTTTTAAACGAATAGTAAACCTGCATTTTTGTCACGTGGTCGGATTTTCATAGAATGAACCGAAACCTTTAGGTCCGAAGAAATCGTAGCAACCACGCTCGCTTGTTGCAATACGTTTCTTGATATAGCTCGTTATTTCCAGACATATCTTTGTTCAAGTTCACTGTGAAGCGGTAATAATAATAGTAATAATAATAATGCCTTTATTGAGCTACACCTTACCCGAAAAAAAATGTGTTTTTATTACCAACTACTCACTTCTCACAGAGCGGAGTTCAGATTGTAACAAAAATTATTACTTCCTGCTCTTCCACTCAACCCAAAATTGAAAGTTGAAATGATAATACCATTTAAAAATTTATACGTGATTCTATCATATTTCCTTTTGCCGAAAATTAATCGCATACATCCATTCTGCACCTTTTTTTTTTCATCATTAGTATCTAGACAAGTATTATAAAGTATATCACAATAATTCAACTTAGAAAGGACTAGAGATTTACAAAGAAGAGTTTTTATGTTTATATTTAAAGAGTGTCTAATAGAGTAAATCTTTTTAAGATTGCCGTAAGCTTTTTGGAGACAAATAGAAATATGGTTTTTAAAACGCAATTTATTATCAAGATATAGACCTAGATTAGTTACAACATATTTAAAAGTAATCGCTTCATTCCTAATATTAATATTGATTTGGGACATTAGCATTTCCCGCTGATTTGCGCCGCTGAACAATATTGCAGTAGATTTGCTTGAATTTAAATGTAGAGAGTGAGATTGAAATGTGTTTTGCAAAGCATGTAGGTCTGCGTTTATGCGTTTACAAGCGTTACTTACATCTGCAGCTGGAAATGAATAGTAAATCTGCGTATCATCAGAATAAGAATGTAATGTGGTATATTGGAGACAATTTACTGTGGTGCATGTGTAAATAAGAAACAATAATGGTCCAAGAATGGACCCTTGTGGTACTCCCCGGGTAACACTTTTAAAAGTCGATATTTTAACTGCTTGCTTCCTGTTGGAAAGATAACTGTCAATTAAGGCTATGGCTCCCGGACTGAAACTTACGTAATGTAAAATAGCTAGAAGCATGGCATGATCTAACGTATCAAATGCTTTAGAGAGATCTAGCAAAACAAGAATAGTTGCTTTACCCTGGTCCAGTGTGGAAATTATATCGTCTACAATTTTTAAAAGAGCAGTGCAACAACTGTGCATAGATCTGAATCCAGATTGGACATCCGGGATTAACTTATTTAAGGACAAATGGGTTCTAATTTGTTTCTCAATTACTTTTTCTAAGGTTTTTGATAAAGTTGGTAGCATACTGATTGGACGAAAATCATTTAGATTAGATGGAGAATTCAATAGCATATTTGGTATATGTGTACATTTTCCTATGCTTACCAAAGTATAAATTGGGAAAAAATTTTGACTGTATACATGAGTGGAATACACTAATTATTTTATAACCAATGTGTTATAGAATAGGTAACAAAAAAACATTGGAATTTAAGCGGACTCGGGTTTTAAAAATCACCTGGTATTAGGAGGGTTAATCGGAGGTAAGTAATAAATAAAATATACAAGTTTGATTGAAAGTTTAGACAATTTCAGCTGCTTGCACCTTTCTGAAAGTAAAAGTATACAAAAAAAATCTGTAGATGAGCGTCGACATTTAATAAATTTCAAAAGTGGGCATTTCTTTAAGGTAAAAGACTTTCAATCACTTGGACTGTGTTTAAGGTAAAAATATACAAAAAAAAAACCTATCGACACTGTAAAAATTTAGAACAATCCAACCGCGTGTACTTTCTTAATGCATGTGACGTAAGCTTCTTGTTTGGATTAGTTTTTCAATTTTCGCGCAAAAATAAGTAAAGTATAATTTTTAAATCCTATACATTCTGGGGTCCCTCAGGGAAGTGTGCTCGGCCCGCTCCTTTACCTATTATATACTGCCGACTTACCCGTCTTGCATAACATGACAGTTGCGGCATTTGCGGATGACGTTGCTATTCTCTCCTCTGACCACGATCCGGTTACCTCCTCCGTAAACATGCAATCCCAACTCAACATGCTCAGTGAATGGTATTCCAAATGGCGAATCAAGATTTATTTATTATCCCTCTCTTGTTTTGGGCCCTCAACAGGCAGAATCAAGCCAAATCAGTTCAAGTCACTTTTACCCAACGCAAAGAAATCTGTCCGGCCGTATCAAACAACGGTTCTCCCATACCTGTAAACACTGTAGTAAAATACTTAGGACTCCATTTAGACCAACGACTGACGTGGCAGAAACACATCCAAACGAAAAGGAAGCAGTTGGATCACAAAGTCAAACAAATGTACTGGCTCATGGGACGCAAATCTAAACTTTCTCTCAGAAATAAACTCCTGCTGTACAAAACCATGGTGAAACCCATCTGGTCTTACGGTATCCAGCTTTGGGGCTGTGCCAAACCCACTCATTTAAAACCAATCCAAGCGTTCCAAAACAAAACACTCCGAGCAATCGTTAACGCTCCATGGTACGTTAGCAACTTCATACTCCATCAAGACCTTCAAATTCCATATGTCACGGACGTGATCACCACTGTCTCTGCCGCTTACCAACAACGAATTACAGGTAATCCAAACGTCCTCATAGAAATCCTCTTCAGGGATGGACCACCCATCAGAAGATTAAACAAAACCTGGCCTGCTGGTCTACCCCCGTAACACTAAGTGAACTATAAGGTGAATTGTCAGTGGACACTTCCCCTTCCAAGTCAAAGTCATACATCACATTTACTTAATACTCTAAATGAAGTAGATTGTAAATTTGCAATAAAGATATAAAAAAAAGCTGTAAAAAATATTAAGGTTCTGAAGTGTATCTGGATGATTGGAGTCAATGGAATATGTGTCTTTTTTACGCAGGGGTTTTCAATGAGCATTTGTTCTTTAATTGTTTTTGTCGTCTAGATTGCGAGCCCAGAGATAGAATTGCAGTCGGTTTAATACGTACCTATATGGAGTAACATTTCTTCTAAAGTAGCCGTGAAAATCTTTGATTCAGCTTATTTTGAAATGACTAACAGCCGTGTAGGTTTGGTAGGAAAAAAGACACTAACCAATAGAAAATGTACACGTCGCCATTTTAAAGAAAATTCGCTATTGTGAGCGTTCAGAGTTGAATGAAGAGATAGATGAAATCTCTTAGCCATCGGGGAGAGATTGCAAGATTTTAATTAAAAGAGAAATTAGAATTTGTGCGTTGTGAAAAATTGGAATTAGTTGTGTTTCTTGAACGATTGTTTCGAATCATAACGGTGGTTCAGGAAAATTGAAAGTCACCGTGAACAAATTTTATGTCGAGCTAGCGGCCGGAGCAATTACGTTTTTAATATACTTACACCAAAGGATAACTATTACGTGATCAAACGAAGAGGAAATTTATAAATTGTGTGCTACGTGTAGAGTAAATGTACTTTTTTTCGAAGGCAAAAGTAAATGTGTTGGTCGAACAAATTCCGTAGGATTCGTGGTAACGTTTAATTAAATAGTATATGAAAGAGGCGAAATTGTAGCTAAAACTATCGATAAATAAACTTAGTTCAATCGGTCTCACTGTGGCAACCGTCTTTGAAATCATTATTTTGTGGCTGTGCTCATTAAGGATTTTCTCCAATTATACTAAACTGCAATACACGTTCCTTAAACTGAGTGTATGAAAATCATCGTCTCAGAAACTATTGCCACGCACAAGTAAAGGCAAACGTCGTAATCTAGCTCATTATAATTAGGAAAAAAATTCTGTAGTCCAGGGTTAGTTCCATTTATTTTTCAAAGTAAACTTTGAATACCTCTAAAATCTAATGTAGAAAGAATTTGTACAACGTAGAATTTGATTTAATTGGTCTTAAAGGATTCAATCAATTTGGAATTTCTGATAACTATGTGGAGTAATCGTGGAAGCTTTAAGACAGCTTCCAGACTGTAACGCTTTTGAACAATTTCCACTAAATTAAAAAAGGATATGTGACGTTATTTATAGCATACCGACATTTGCCAGGGAGCCATGTTCATAATAGTTGATAAAGTTCCCGATATGAAGGTGTATGAATTACATCCCAGCATAGAAATTCCGCTATACAAAGTTACGAAACTACATTTCGTTTAATAAACGGAGTTATAAGCGGGATGTGCAAGTAAGCTGCATTCATATACACTGCACAGACTGAAATCTTAACATAGAAAGATGCCGACTAACATTAATGTTTAGAGAAAGGACAATTAACAGCCACAGAACGTGTTTTTGGTAAATTTAGGGACAATGTATGAACAAGGCGTTAATTTCGAAATTTGATAATCTGTACCGTAGGAGCCGGAGAGATGGTAAATATTCGCATTAAAAGCTTTTGTAAACATTAATTATTAACAGGGGAGATTAGGGGTGTGCCACTAATGACATGTAATTTATTAGATACATTAGAAGTGGATATATTCAAATTAATTTACAGTCACAATAAATGCATATTACGGAAGGTAGATTACACTTTTAAAGGATACACTCTTGAGATATTGGGGATATACCTTTTGATCATTTTAGGGGGAGATTTCTTTCTCTATGTTTTTTGATATCTTTACATTCATTTGGGATTTACCCTTAGATGTATGGGGGGAAAGAAAAAAACAAAATTCCAGAATGTTATTTGCAAAATTTTAAAAGTCAATAGTTTCCGAATTAATTTGGCAGTATATGTATTTTATGGGTAATTCCGGATGCGTCACGATCTGTTAATCATCTGGGAAAGTTACCAGTGCCAGTCTGACGGGCCGTAATCCAATCTTACTGTCTTCTACGTGACTAAAACTAAATGAGATCATACAGCTCCGTGAGAATCGCTAGGCTGCAGTTCTATTGGTGGCTTTAACGCGCGCGTAATTCGTCGGACTAAATAAATCAGATTGACTAATGATTAATGATGGCTGATGATTAATTATTAGCCCCATTTTGGGGCGTGCTGAAACATTAAAAAGGGCGTGGGGACTAAATCAGGTAGGTTCAGAAAGAAGGATTCGGTTGGTGACCACCACAGAGTATAGTGCGTGGTTCAAAATTAAAGTTAATGAGTTACACTTACGTTAAACATTTGATTTATATTTAGCTAACCGAGTCTTTAACAGAGAATTGGGGTTTTTAAAAAATATGTCTTTGTAAATCACATGTTAATAAAAAAATCTTTTGAAAGTATATTTCAAGTGATTTTTTATATTAACAGAATTGTGTTCGTTTCGTATAAAGATAAATTTAATTAATGAGATTTCTAACTGAGTTGAAGAATTGGATTTTAATGTTCAAATGAGTTGGTAAAAAGGGGTCTTATTCAACTTTATATTTATTAAGTCTAGGAGATAGAAGATTGCTTTTTCAACTGCGGGAACATGTTCCAACAATCAAATTTAATCACCTTTTGTTCACTAACGGCAACACAACTAAATTTTCTTTTAGCGAAACAGAATCCAGCCCGTTTAATTAATCTATCCTTGACCGAACGCGACTCCAATTTATGGAATATTTCACACCGAGGTTTCAACGTCCTCTGGTTGCATAATAATTCCCATTATGGTGTTACAGTCTCTGAATATCCTTCTACATTCTTACTTAATAATAATAATAAGTATAAATTGTAGAATGCCTTGCATCAGTCACAATCTGTCGTGTTACCAGATTTCAAAATCTAAAAGTGTTAATATCTACCTGAAGGAGTCATCTAGAGGAAAATCTTTATTGGACTTTTTTGCTCAGAAAATAATGAAGCATCACGTAGTAATTTTACCTATAGAAAGGATACATTCTGTATAATAAGTGCATAAACAAATAAAATAGTTATTTATTTTTCGAAAGAACAAAAATTCTCCTTATGCGATGGTTTTGTCCGTTTGTCCGCATGTCTGCCTGTTTCTCGTCTAACTCGAGAACGAAAAGGGTAAAAACCTTCGCCCATCGATTTTTACGAGTTCAAGGATCAGTGCTATTGAATACGAGCCGGATCAAAAGTCTGGTTTCCGATTACGAGCGGAGTAACTATTGTACCTACCCCTGATACAACCCATGTTTAAAGCGCATCGCAGCCTATTGAAAAGAAAGAAACTATTATACTATTGTTCACTATTGTTATTGTTAACCTTAGTAAAAATCAAGTTACCTGCCTAGTCACCAAATTTGTTCTCGCGAAACCTAATAATTGTGTTTTAATTGCAGTTCAAGGAACGGAATTGGATACAATCTACAAGAAGTACTGCAACCGACTGAAACACGCATTGTTTGTGGCTTGTTTGTGCGTCGCAATCGCCGGGTGTCTTTTACTACTAATTACAACATGTATTCTACATTCAGAGGTAAGATGTAAAACAACTTATCTTACAAAATTCCTGCCAGTCTGCAGCCCACAATGAAAATAAATGCGCTTTCCTGTTTGAACACAAAGGTATTTGATAGCTGCCTTTGTAAGTGTCGGATTTGGTTACCAACCAAGCGAGTTTGTCCACTTGTTCATTATTTCGTAACCCTATATGTGATTTTACATAAATAAAATAGATGTTATGTCAATTCTTGCATATAATAACAAAAACGCTTTTTCATGTTTAATAGAATTTTTAGCAGATGGAAATATAACTTTGTAAATAAAAATAAAATAAAATAAAATAAAATAAAAAATAAAAAATAAAACAAAACTATACATAACGAAGCTGGTTGAATGACCACTGGTCTAGGCCAAAAAAAAAACTTATCTTACTATGTCATTTTGCATTGTCACTATGGTACTAATACGGTTTTTACTAACGACAGTAACAACTAGCCTAACCTATAACTTTTCCTGGAGTCTGTAAAACCGCTACCATTTTATATATTGCTAAATCTATAATGACTCCTGTCATCACTTACAGATTGACATTAGTCAACAGTTCTATATAACAATTGAAATTTTATATTAAAATACGATTTCGGGTAAAATTGACAAAACTCGTCAGTAAAATTACATTACCGGACTCGGAAATTAAAGTACTCGGCCCTAAAGAGGCCTCGTACTTCAATATTTGCTCGCCAGCAATGTGTCAGTTTCCTGACTTTTATGTAAATGACTTCATGTCCATGGGTTATAAACAACTTAACATTTTTTATTCGGCAATTTGCGTAATATTAATCCTTTCATTTATAATACCTTTTTTTAGTGTACTAAATATCTTTAGGTTGTTAGAAGTATAGTTGTATCATTCAGGAGAAAATTAGTGAAAAATAAACAGTACCGTTAAATCCATCCATTAGTGAAATGTTATATACAAGATCTAACCTGCTGCAATATCAAAATTTAAATTTTATTAACTTATTTATCATCTGAGACAATTTATACTCGTACAATACGATGATGTGCAAGGTTTACTCTTTGCAACGAACTACGTCGGAAAATAATAAATAATTCGTATGTTGACTTGAACATCGGGGCAGAACGAATAACTTTTTCTGATATGCCGACGTACATAAGGAACGTAAACATAATAGGAAAACAAATAAAAGCTAAATACTTGCATTGAAAGAAGCACCTGCAATTGAACCGTAGGCATGACATCAATATCATTAAACACATTTGATCTTCTCTGTCGTTATTTAATTTAGCAATAATTAATGACCGAATAACCAACATTTTAGGGTGTTAAACTTTTACTTGTAGTAGAAAAGGTTATCCTTTCGATACAAGTGTGACAATAATTGTAAGAACCTTAATAATTCGGAAAAGGTGGTGACCCCTCAGGAGTATTTCGGCAGTTGCACAGGGTTATTTCGGTAGTTGGTCCGCCATCTTGGTTTCCATTTTGAATCCACCATCTTGGATGCTACTTTGGCAAGGTGGAGGATTGCTGGAGAACAATTTTATGGTTAGAGGTTATTATCTATTTCGAAGAACACAGAAGCTCAAACGTGTAAACAGGTAAACAGAGTAATCTAGAAAAGAATACGATGAGAGGTTAGGAAAAAACTATGAGAGAACGATGACAGAAGATAAACCGTTGCTACTGGACGTACACGCAGTCACCGTGCTTTAGTTTTTAAAATTTGTTAAATGTTCCCAAAAAAAAATTTCTTGATAGCACTATAGAACCTGGCTACTTTAAGTGTAAGGGAAATAACCACAAATACACTCGTCCATCACAAGCGGATTTCCAACAGATTCATATTGACAGCTTTTTCATTTAAATACGTATAGCGCCCACAACAAAATATTACCAGCCCCGATTTCCTAAACATTTACACATAAATGAAATAGTGACAAACAAAATGACGTCTCTAAAATTACTTTCTCCGGGTAAAGGGAAATTTCGGAATAAATTTTCTTCGCCCTCTCACGTGAACCACTGCACAATATTCTTTTAATATCCCTCTTTACCTTGGCTTCTGGATGAATTAAATTTTATTGTCAGATTTATGCCCTTCAAGTTTTTAGACCTAATGCCTCTTAAACAGTTTCAAGTGTTATTAAAAAGTTTTAATTCGCGATTATGTCGTACTTTAACGAGGGTAAATGTCATCTAATATTGGACGAGATTGCGTTTGTAATTCAAACGCGTAAAATGTACAAAGCGAGTGAGTGATAATGAAAGTTAATTGATTGAAAAGAGCTGTATCGGTAGGTACTGTAAACACGAAAAGTTGCATGCCAGCTTAATGGTTTTTAAATGTGCTCTATTGAACGTAAAAACGTACTTCTGCGTTTGTAATTTAGTTTTTACATGATTATTAAAATATATGCCCCGTTTTGAGAACAATCGATTACCTATTTGTATAACAGTGCCAGCAGACTAAACGCCTCTGTATACAATTAAGTGCCACTAGGTATGAAGAATCAAGATTGGTGACATATTTTTTTGTCATTAATAATAAGTGTCTTTATTTTAATTAGTTTTTGATATACATGATTAACTGCAAAATAAAGAGGCGAAGTTCAGCACACGTTAACGTTAACCTCAGCGAGCGAAAGGTGGAATGGATGTTTTTTTTAAAATTAACCTGAAAACATATAACATTCAATACTCACAATATTAGTGATGTGGATTGTAAAATAACGATTTGTAAGTTACATAAAAAACGGTTATATTACGCGTAACTTACAAGAGGCCGGTTTTTTAATGTAATTTATGTCTTTTATGAAACTTACGTAACTTACGTTTTTAATTTAAAAAACCGTAATTTTTGTAAGTTACATAAAATTTAATGTAATACCTATTTGATACATTTTGATCGGTACTACCACAGACCATCAACGGTACTACCAACGTAAACGGTTCACCGTTGAATTTAGTTTGTTTTAATTAAGATGATACAGCCTCTAATTCGCGATCTGGAGCTTCTTCCTCCAAACGACGCGTGATGGCGAAATACCTACTGCTTGGTTATTTTATTTAATACACCAAAATATATAATTCAACAAGTGTTTTTATTTTCAAACACTCACAAAATTCAAAAAGGTTTATACAATATTGAAAAAAAAACATAAAAAACATAAATAACAGGTAATTTTACAAAAATATTTGTAAATTACATAAAAAACATAAATTACTGGTAATTTTACTATAAAATTACGGTTTTCTTTTAAAAATGGTAAGTTACATAAATTACAAAAATTACAAAAAACATAAACAATTGGTAATTTTACACGTAATATTACGCACTTTAAAAAAAACGTGTAATTTAAAATCACTAGTTTCTAGTCTATAACTTTTGATTGAGAAGTCTGATCGAAAAAGTACGAATTGATTTGGATTCTACGCACCTAAATTAATAAGAAAAAGTGTTTTCCCGAGAAATTTTGGTGTAGTCGATTTTTGGTAAAAAAAGGACTGCCTTTTTTTGAGCCCCGAAAAAAAATTGTCTCAGATCGACCCGGAAAAAAAATTTTCTCATAGAATGTGGCCTGTACAATCCATAATTTCAAACAGTTCCAAGATTGGGCTACTAATTCAAAAGTTACGGCCCTTTTAATTTTCTTTCGAAATTGGTTTCTAGTCCATAACTTTTGATTGAGAAGTCTAATCGAAAAAGTACGAATTGTTTTAGATTCTACGCCCCAAAATTAATAAGAAAATGTGTTTTCCCGAGAAATTTTGGTGTAGTCGATTTTTGGTAAAAAAGAAAGGTGCTTTTTTTGAGGCCCGAAAAAAAAATTGTCTCAGATCGACCCGGAAAAAAAAATTTTTTTCGAAATTGGTTTCTACTCACAATATACCTACACACAATATGCGTTCTCAGTCTAGTTCTACCCGTACTCTACATATTAACAGCTGTTCTCCAGGAGGTTGGAGATGATCGCTTTACGGAAGGATTGTAAACCAAGCATTTTGAATCTGGCCGTAGTAGAATTCCACAATACAGCAATGTTATATCAGTAGGAATGTTTAAGCTTCTCTATGGCCCGTTAGATATAAAGTCTTGTGAATTTTTTCTTTAAATACCTACAAGTTTTTTTTTTATACTATTGTATAAAGAATACCTTCTAATATGGGGTCCTGTTCACCATCACTACATTCCATATAATTTCTGAGGGTAACCTCCAGGAGGTACCTATCCGTAGCGCATTTTAAGTCTAATTTTATTAAAAAAATGTTTGACTGTATTATTTTTATAACTTTCTTTCTGTTTTTTTTTGTGCTTTGGAAAAATGAACTTTCTTTCTTTCTTTCAATCTCAAGAAAAAGGTAATTTTCATTCTTTCATGTAGTTACCTCATATGATACGCATTGTAATGAACATGTTTGGTAATGGAGGTGCTATTAACGATATTAATATCACTAAAGACAATTAGGGACCGCTTCAATTTTTCAAGTAATCGATGAGTTAAAAAAATATAAACCCTGAGGCGGTGGTTGAAGATCCATCCCGGATATACTATATGGCCTGGCCATTCGAGACTACGATGACCTCACGAACTTGCTCTTGCACCTTTTTCTTCACTTCATGCATTCAGTTCTATCTTTCAGGGCGGCCTTCTGCTTTTTCAAGGTAAAACGATCCTATTTTAAGGTACCTAATGAACATAAAAGGACTCATAGCATGTAGATCGCCGTTATCTTCTGTAACCACTATGAGAAGTCGCTCATTTATGGTGGTAGCAACGCTGGTCAGACAAGTCCTCATCTGATCATAATCAAGTTTTGATCTTCCTAATATCTCCTTGAGGAGGTCCTTTACCAAACAAAATAACCTTTCGCACTAACCCCCAAACCAGGGAGATGCAGGTGACATGAAGGTCCACAGTACCTGTTGTTCACTTCTTCCCAATCGATACTATTAAACAAATTAGCCGCTCCCACGAAATGTGTTCCGTTGTCTGAGAAAATTGTATTGAACGTTCCATACAAGGAAATAAGTGCTTCGGTAGACAAACTGCATACCAGATCTTAATCCACACATCGATAAACTGCACACTTGTGCACGGTCCGGGTTTTTCCTTCCTTCAAATAATTGGGCACTGCAAGATCCACTCCAGTGGTGGTAAACGGATCCCTATCCGATATCTTCCCTTATTTGGTAAGGAAACTGGATCCACTTTTAGTGGTTTAGTACTGAGTGACGAAGGCAGGCCTTGCAGATCCGTATTACTTTTAACACCGCCCTGCTGGAGTTAAATATCCACTATTTTTCCCTCAAGTTGTTAGGAATGAAGTTGACTCCACCGTATCCATGATACAGATGAGTCATAAATTAGAGCTGTGACAAGTGGATGGCTTTTTGGTAACAGTGTTTATTGTAAGCGTTAAGGAAGGTTAGCGATGCACCTAGCCCTTGTTTTCTGTGATCTTCCGTAATGATTTTTGGAATCCCCCTGGCACAAAATTTGTGGTACAATTTCACGAACTCAACTTCGTGGAATTTGTGGGAAATGTTCCTAGAGTTCGGTAATCATGAAACGTTGGTTGTTGGAGTTCATTGTAGCCGATTCCATCCCCTTTTGAGTCTGTGTCGCTATCAGTCCACATTTCAGTTTGACTACCTTCCCAGCTATGGTATGACCACAATTCGTTTGCAAGCTAATGGTTCTTAGATGAGGACGTCTGAAATCATTATTCCTTTTTCTTGGAGTTCATTTAACCAAGGTCCTTCAAGAGCAAAATTAATCCTTGTTCTTTGCCAACAGTTTGAAACCAAAGCGCTTGCTTTTTCTGTGTAAAGGTTTTAGTCATACTACGAACTTATCGTACTTTTCGCGTGACGACATCTTTTCTCCAAAGAGAAATTCTTCTCAAATTTTTACAGCATTTCCTTGCCGTGCTACTCCAGTGGTTATATAATTCTTCCGGTGTCTCCAATTATCCAAACTGAGACTACTTTCTTGGTTTCATACTAACTTTCAAAGTACTTAGGAGAATACTACAAGCGCACTGATTATAGAGATTCTGATGTACTTGACATCCTCTTCCTTCGATGACTTCTGCTTATTTTTTGAGTCAGTACATAATTTGATAATGACTGGGACTTTCTTCTTGCATTTCTAGAGGAGTGACCAATTTTCAAGCACCGGAAGCAAGCAATTTTCTCTACTTTCTGCCTATCTTCATAGGTCATTAATTTCGCTTTCCAACATTTAGCAGAGTCGTGATTTTTGTTTAAAAAATGCCGAAGTTCTTCCCCACTCATTTGATAACAATTCAGAAGCTGTGGGAGCGTTATCTTCTTGAATATTGCTTTTATTCTGGCATTCTCCCCTCCTACCATTACATTTTAATTGTTGTTGTGGTGGTGTAGTTGACTGAATGCCTTCACGTGCAAGGGAAGGTAGCATTTCATTTTTCACTTCCTGTCGCATGAAGTCTCTCAACTCGACTCTTGTGGCACCAATTAACATGGAAGTGCAAGGAAAAATGAAATCTCACATGTAGGTACATTAAGTAAACTTATTACCACTGAAAGAGGGAAGTATATAATTATGATTGTTTTAACGTCAGCCTGAAGTGCCTTTCGCGAAGTTACGTTTGGTTTGTGAAAATCGAACAACAAATAATGGGGATGTGCGCGACATTCGGTACAAGATTGCTTTGTTTGTCACTGGTTCAAGTGTATTCAGAGCATCTCTAGCGATAAATATCATCTTTTGAATATATTCATCCATGTCATGGAAGGGCGTTTATAAAATATTGAAGGACTTCGAGGTGCCTTTTCCTAACAAACAGATTCTTATATAAAACATTGATAGATTGCCCTTTCTGTTAGCACAAATCGCCCTAGAATTATATGAAGTTTATTTCCCGTGTTTAACTTCACATTCTCTTTCAAAGCTAACAACCGCGCTATCTCTAAAGCTCATAAACGTCCCACAATAAGCTATGCAGTAAGTCAATTCATTCCTTTTTGTTAGAAGGGGGAATTTGTGAAAAAGGAACGCGCTTTCAAATTAAAAGGCCGAAACGCTCACGAACTGTTTTATTGCAGGACATTCAAGACCATCTGCTTCCAGTGGTGACACTATCCTTGGTGACCATTGCCCTAATGCTGATATTCGTGGGATCGCAGCTTCCGCCAATGCTGGAGTCGAAAATATGGTCGCTGGTGGCGTCGCTGATCGTCACGGGAGCGGTGACAACCGCGGCTCTGCTACTCGCTGGAATATACGCACCCCTGCCGCTTTTCGCCCTGCTCCTAGCGTTGCACACGATGCTACCGCTGTCGAAACTGATCGCAATAGCGTTGGCGGCAATCGTCACGGTAGCTCATTTGGCGATTGCAATAGCGCGCAGGTTGAATAATTCCGACTCGTCGTTTGAGCAGGTGAGTAGGGTGCACATTTAGGTTTCTAGGGCAGAGCCCGAAGGTTAAACGAAAAGTTTGTAAACTACAAGAATGCGTATAGGCTGAGCGTGGCTTTGAAAAGTGAACATTACATTTTAACAGACGTTCCTTTAGTACTTTATTTTTATATAAAACACACCCTACGGCAACAAACAGAACAAATTCCACACAAATGCTTGGCATAGTCTTTGAGGAAATTGCAACAGTTCAAAGTTAACGCAGCTTCGTTATTTCATACCAGTCTTTTGGCAAGAATTTATTTTATACAGACAGGAAGCCGAATGATTTAAGGGTAGTAAGCAGATCAGTAAAATAAAAAAAAGCAAATGTTTGCCTTTCGCCGTCGGCGGGGTGGACGTCAAGGTATAGGTGAACTAGGTGACTTTGAAGATACAGTTGGGAATTGAATTATTTGTCTTGAGAACTACATCGGCGACCGCAAGAGATGTTTTTGCGATGATTCGAAACAATTTTTCAAGAAACACAACTAATTCCAATTTCTTACACCGAACTAATTCTAATTTCCCTTTTAATTAAAATCATGCCCCGATGGCTGTGAGATTTTATCTATATCTTAATTCAATTCTGAACGACTCCCTTTACGCGAATTCTCTTTAAAATGGCGACGTGTAAATTTTCTGTCGGTTAGTGTCTTTTTTCCTACCAATCCTACACGGATGTCATTTATTGTTAGTCATTTCAAAATAAACTGAATCAAAGATTTTCACGGCGAGTTTACCTTCACAATGAGCTAAGAAATGTTACTATTAAACCGACTGCAATCCTATCCTTGCGCTCGCTATCTAGATGAAAAAAACAATTAAAGAACAAATAATGCTCATTGAAAACCCCTGCGTAAAAATTACACATATTCCACTGACTCCTCCAATCATCCAGATAAATTTTTTACATTATCACTACTAACATTTTTTTGGAAAGACCTTCCAGAACCTTGGCATTTTTTACAGCTTTAAAATTATACTTCACTTATTTCTGCGAGAAAATTGAAAAATTAAATCCAAAATAGATGCTTCCGACACATGCATTAAAAAAATGTTCTTAATTTTTACACAATCGATAGGTTTTTTTATATTTTTACCTTAAAAACAGTGCAAGTGACTGAAACTTTTTTACCTTAAAGAAATGCCCACTTTTTAAATTTATTAAATGTCCATGCTCATGCATAGAATTTGTTGTGTACTTTTACTTTCAGAAAAGTGCAAGTAGCTGAAATTGTCTAAACATTCATTTAACCTTGTAGATTTTATTTATTACCTTCCATTAACCTTCCTAGTATAAGGTGAATTTTAAAACCCGAGTCCGCTTAGATTCCAGTGTTTTTTTGTTACCTATTCTATAACATTTTAGTTATAAAATAATTAATGTATTCCACTCAGTGCCTAATCATGTATACGTAAATGCGGGTAGTCGATTTAGAGTCAACAATTTTTTTTCTTTTATACTTTGGTAAGCATAGGAAATTGTACACATGTACCGCTTCACAGTGAACTTGAACAAAGATATGTCTGGCGAGAACGAGCTATATCAAGAAATGTATTGCTGAAAAGCGAGCGTGGTTGCCACGATTCCTTTGGACCTAATTGTTTCGGTTCATTCTGTGAAAATCTGAGCACGTGACAAAAATGCAGGTTTACTATTCGTTTAAAAAGGTACGCTAGTCGCGATTGCTTTTTGCAGAAAATAGGACTCATTTCGGTATTTCTACCGAGCGAGATTTCAAGAGGAATTTGCGAGCCATCGTGTCCTCTACTTGGGCGAGTTGTTTCTACTGGTACTGTGCATTAGTGCGTTAAAATTGAATTTTTATCGAGTTATAAGAGCAGATTTTATTCTGAATATCTGGAGAGATTCTTTGTGAGATTACAAGAACTGGACCGTGCATTTTTGGAGTGACTTTTATTCGGAGTTCGTGGTAAGCTTTGTGAGATGTTACACGTGGCACATTACTTCACGAATTGTAACGATATAAAGAAATATTCCCAGAACGTCTTTCAATTTTGTTTCCTAGTAAACTTCAATGTCGTAACTAAAATTGATCGTTAGACATTGAATTTTCATTAACACTTTGGGGAATTCTTACCCTAAAATTGAGCACCAGTTTCCATTTTGTAACCTTTGCAGTCTAAATAATTACACCAAAGCTACTTCCTTAATTAATTAGAAAATCTCATTTTTTCAGTTGGTCGTAGCACGCTAAAGAGGTCTGAAATATGCAAAACATGTCCAGCATACCTACCTATTAAAACTTGAATGTGATATTTTCAACAACGTTCGCGATCTTTATGTAGAAAACAAAATTATAAAAGTATATTATTATTTATTCCACTTTATGCTCACATTTTGTTTGACATTAAAAATTTAAGGGTACATTAGTCTCGCAAAATGCCATTAGTGCCGAAATAATTTTAAAGCAACTACATAAATCTCTCCCGTCTGCGTCATTGTAATAGACTAGATCAGAGAATTGGTACCAGTAAAAATGTAATTACTTGAATATGTCCTGGCCGGAAAATAAAGATAGCTACGCTTGCATGTAGACACACCGTTAGTGTATTGCAGGCAAAAGCACAGATTTAAATAAAACCGTCCGCTTCAACTAACGCAAGTACTCACTATGCAAAAACAAACTCGGTTTATTTATCCTACATAGAATAAACACCGTCAACAAATGATGCGGAGAAAAAGAAAATATACAAGATAAAAATCTAACCCCTCTTTTGAATTTAGCAATCAAATTAGCATTCATCAAACATTCCTGGATTGTGCAATTCATAGATATCGACCCAACATTTTCAAGTATTACATGTCATCAATCTTAGATGGGGTGTTAATTCCCTTACACTTCACATGGACTCGTGCGAACCATCTTGGGTAAATATCAAAATCACAACCTCCAGCGCAATTCAAATAAGAAGAGATGCATTACTTAAGACCCTGCTTAATAGCCAAAATACACATTGTAGCGTTTCAAGTCTTATCTGCTTGAACACTCGTGTCTTATCTTAACTTGCTTTGTTTTTTCGAATATAAGTTCTGTTCTCTTCCCTTTTCTTTTCTGGAGCGGCACGCGTATAAAATCCTATGCAAATTTGTAAATTTGACAATAGTATACAGGGTGTTTTTTTGGGAGCTTTAGTTAAACGTTTCTGGGAAAGTAAAATACGTAGGTTTTTGAAAATTTGTACTTAGGAGTTACTCTGAAGGCCGAATCTATGTAAAATATTTTCAAAATGGCCGCACTTCCGGAAACACCGGAAGTAGATAGTAACTTCGTTATTTTAAATGGCAACCCCTATTTTTTATTGCATTTTTGGATTCTACGTGAAATTTCAGTTCTTTTGATACCCATATGTCGATATCTGCCATTTATGGTTTTTAAGTTATTTTGACTTTAAGAAAAAAAATGGCGGATGCTGATGGTACCTTGATAATTGATTACTTGAAAAAGGTTATAGTCATGACAACCCATTTTTATCAGTGCATAGAGAATGAATAGGGCTTTCTTTTAGTGTACTTAAAAAAAAGTTAAGTTGCGTACAACCACACCTATGGAGATCCAAATTTAAGAAACTTCAAAGTCTATAAACTCAGTTTTTTAAATGGAATGACCATGTTCTTAATATTGCATGAGATAGAGAATCGAAATTGGCATATTTTGATATTACATGTTCCTATAGCTATCTTTAACAGTTTCTGATTTATTCCCATTTCATTGAATTGATCTCGGAATTGATGCCATTTTTTTTCGCATTTTCTTTTTAGTAGTTGGCCATGATTTTATAACAATCGAATTTTAAACAAATCAAGGAATGGATTCTTTAATACCACTGATTCTAGTTCTAGTCTAAATAATTCATTAATAAATAACTCATTTATTAAGGATATAGGACAGAAAATTTTTGAAAAATCTAAACAGAGTCGTTCAACTGAATTTCTTAAACAACGTATAAGTCTACAAATTAAGAGAGGTAATGCGATATCTGTTCTAGCAACAATTCCATACCAAAAATGTTTCAACGAAGTTTTTTATATTTTGCATTGAATTTATTTTGTTAATCTTGCATTTGCAATTCAATTCATTTTCTTAAATATTCTCTTCTAGAGCTTTGTATCACTTGTGCTTCAACGGTTTGTAGTGCATTAGGGGTACAAAATTTCCAAAATTCATACAATTTCGTTCCGGTTTTCGAATGAATGTACGGAAAGCACGCGCCGCGATTCTGCCCATTTCACCATAAATAACAATTAAATTCCAAAATAGGTGAAACCACTGCGAGTCATTTTTCGATTTTTGAAAAACTTATGTTAACCTATAACAGTGGGTGATGGATTAGTGTCACTAGATTTGTTTAAAATTCAATTGTTATAGAATCATGGCCGACTACTAAAAAGAAAAACCTAAAAAAATAGTGTCAATTCAATAAAATGGGAATAAGTCAGAAACTGTTAAAGATAGCTATAGGAACATGTATTGTCAAAATATGCCCATTTCGATTCTCTATCTCATGGAATAGTAAGAACATGGTCATTCCATTTAAAAAAACTGAGTTTTTAGTCTTTGAAGTTTCATAAATTTGGATATCCATAGGGGCGGTCGTACGCAACTTAACTTTTTTTTAAGTGCACTAAAAGAAAGCCCTATTCATTCTCTATGCACTGATAAAAATAGGTTGCCATGACTACAACCGTTTGCAAGTAATCAATTATCAAGGTACCATCTGCATCCGCCATTTCTTTTCTTAAAGTCAAAATAACTTAAAAACCATAAATGGTAGATATCGACATATGGGTATCAATAAAAGTGAAATTTCACGTAGAATCCAAAAATGCAATAAAAAATAGGGGTTGTCATTTAAAATAACGAAGTTACTATCTACTTCCGGTGTTTCCGGAAGTGCGACCATTTTGACAATATTTTACATCGATTCGGCTTTCAGAGTAACTCCTAAGTACAATTTTTCAAAAACCTACCTATTTTACTTTCCCAGAAACTTTTAACTAAAGCTCCCAAAAAAACACCCTGTATTAAGAAGTATGGAGAACGGTAAGGGATTTTTACCGTTCGAAGACAATTGTTTGGAGGAGGAGCGAAGCGACGACTCCAATTATTGTCTGAGAACGGTAACCCTTAACGTTCGACGTGCTTATAACATTTTTTGCGCGATCGAAATTAAAATTATAAATATGCACTAAGAAATTAACGAGCAGAATAAATCCAAATGATCGAAGTGGTATGGTGTACATCACTAGGTAACCAGTTTAATTGTCAAAATTGAAATTAATAATTCCATAAAATTGTGCATGTGTCTGATGTAGTTTGCTAGCTTTGCACTTCCTATATGACTTTATGAGCGATGTATTCGCCGGTGGCCGAATGGTATGTCGAAGATTCTTTACAGAAAAAAATTGTAATTGGAATGTGTTAAGAAAAACGAAAGCATATCTTCAAACACATTGAATTGATCTCTATTGCTTCAGGTTTAAATGAAGAACGTGTTCTTTCTGTATGAAATAACAGCACAAATTGTACGTTTAATGTGACAATAAATAAAGATTAAACTGATGTTGAACTGATTGTTTTAAAAAGGCGTGGTAAGTATTTTTGCTGTTCTGTTTTTAGATCGGTAAGTAATTTTGGCGTCGTCGTAATCATAGCAATTGGTAAATTCTACGTACTGTCATGGAAACACCCATGATAAATTGTCAGAAATGACCGATCACGCAAAAAATCTTTAAAATCAAAAGCGACCACCTTAAACTGCTTGCACTTTCAACTTGACGAACCTTTTTCCGAAATCGGACAACACGCGTTAAACTTATTACACAACTCTGGTTAACCTGCTTCTGCACAAATTTATTACAAAAATCAGTAGTCTTCTAATAAAAAAAATAGGGCTGACTGCCTGAAAATTTAGCGTAAAGAAATGTACCCGCTCTTCCTCAACCGTCGTGAAACGAATCTCGTTTCCGTTGATTCCAATATTTAAAAATGTTTCAAAACCCACGCGTGGGTGTTTCCGCGTAACACAACCGTAAATAATGGGAAACGGGCAAATATAGACCATAGCAGCGCTATTAAATAGCGAAAACTCAAAGTCTCTAGGTGGCCCAGGGGCCGAGATCTCGAAGGAACGACAGACAGACAGAAACGAAATATTGAGCATATAAGCGTTACCGCAACTTCGTTGTATTACGCTAAAAAAACCATCATTTCCACTAACCCCTAACCTCCTTCTTTATGAATTTTTCAACACACCGCCAATCACAATAATTGGACTTGAATCACCCCAGCGACGCCCAATATGTGGTAGAGAGTGGAAGGTGTAAGGAATGGACTCGGAGGGTCAAATACGAATTACAGGGGAGATGACGCGTGATGGGAGGATACTTAGAAGAGAATGGTAAGACTAGGGGATGAAATCTTGCAATCTTATTGTTTCTTGTCCACGGATCTCGGAGTTGTTGTTCGGATGTTGTCCGAAGTAGTGAATCCAGATGTATAGCAACAACAGAGCCCTGAAAAACTGACAAACACATAAGATCACAGAAAGGGAAGACTTACAAGATGGTGGAGACCTTGAAGTAGAGGGTATAAATGCGTAGTCGTGACTAATACATTATATTATCAAATAATTATAAGATCCTGATGTGGGGTAGGTTAGTGGTATGGACACCATCTTACAACTAAGGTGCCGAGTTCGATCCCGGAGGCCATCGACAAACCAACGTTGGTGTTTTTTTTTCTTCCTAGGAATCGACTCAGACTCGTTAAAAATAAGTACCTTGCGTATTTCCACTTCAACGATCTCAAATTGAGGAAAAATCCCAAAATAATTTTCCGCCCGTCATTCAAGTACCTACGATTGGTTGACAATTATTGGACGGTCACCGGAAAACAAAACGAAAGCAATCTCGCACAAAATCAAACATTTTGGGAAAAATTAAGAAGTAACAGACACTAAGAGGAAATGTAGCAAGTCCGGAAAATAAAATAAAATAAAGACGTTATACTTATAGGTCCCTACAAAGGTAAATATAGATCTAACACCGAACGTAAGGTAAACGCAAAAGAAATGATACGGAATGGTAAGGAATTAAAGGCGAGTGTCAAAAATAGATTAAAGGGGGAATATAAAAGATATAGAAGAGAGACAAAGGAAAACTTGCTGCCATTTACAAGGTAAGATAGCAACACCACTGGGATAAACAGCAACCGCTAAATAACAGTCGCCTGTTGTCCTAATCAAATTTGTAAACCGTTACTTTTTGAAAATGTGTTGTTGTCGAGTTTTTTGCTATACGCAGGTTCTGTTTTGCCATCTCCATTCGTCTTTACCCATTGCCTTTCTTTCCATATCCACGTAACCTCTCGCATCGTTTAGATCGTTTACCATATTCACTCGTCTTTTTCCTCTTTTATTTGTACTCTCCACGGCTCCTTCGATAACGGCTTTCAGCAAACTGTGCCCTCTTAGCACGTGACCATGCCACATTCTTTTCCTTCTCAAAGTTGTGTTATAGATACAAGGATCTTCCCTCACCTATTCTTCCTAGTGCCTGTTCGTTCATAAATCTTGTCATACCACTTTGATCCAAGCATTCTTCTCCACATCCACATTTCAATCTCTTTAAATCTTTTCTTATGTATTTTCAAGATTGTCCACGGGTCACATCCGTACAATCAAGTCTATTTACTGCCCGGTGCCTTGTATCCTTCCAATCTACACCTTTCTCTTTTAAAATCCCCATAAATTTTTCCTACAGAATGCAATCAAATGCTTTCACCAGACCAACGAAACACAAGCTCAGATTCCTTCTTTCTCCATATATCTTTTACCTATTGTCCAATTTGACATCTCTTGTTGCCATTTCTCTTCATTATCTTCTCGAACCTTTTATTTAACACTCTATCCTATCAGACTGATCGTTATATGTTCACCACACGTGTGTCTTCATTTCTTTTTATCCAGAAGAATCATCTGATTTAGGAAATCTTCAGGCCATTCAGGTTCTACTGGAATGCCATCTGTCCCATGATTTCATTGCTATTTCTGATTCTGGCTTTTATATTGTCAGGACAGACTTATGCTTCTGTTTCCAGTTGGTTTTTCATGTGTTTTATAGAGATCTACGATATACTCTTCCCACCGACTCTTTCTATCTTCCACCGCGTTGTTACAAACACCTTTAATGATCTATTCCAAGTAACCTCTTTAGTCCGTTTGTAAACAACATCGTGCTCGTGCTCTCTTATCCTATCAAGCTTTTCTATTTAGGAACAATGATCTCCTCACCACCTTTTCCTAGCTTCATCAGTTTTTTCTCTCAACTCCGTTTTTACCCTCCCATATTGACTTATTCCTCCTGCGGTATTGATGGTTTTGTACCTTCTTTTCTCTTGAATCTTTTCCATGATTTCCTGATTTATCCAAAACGTCTTTGATCTTATTCCTTTCTTATATCCACTTTATCTTCAGCTGTTTTGATTATTCCCGCCTCGATTCTGTTCCACTTACACTTTACATCTTCCTCGACTTGTGGCGACTTTAGATTCATTATTTCTTCATTCATCAATTTCCCCACTTCATCCTTCTCTATAAACTTTTATTTGTCTAGGGGCCAATCTTTCCATCTCTCGATAAATTTATTTGGCAAATAAGTACCTTGACAACGATTGGATCAACAATGATATCCGTGGAATTTACTCCTTATTGTTTTTCTCGAATGCATTGTCCACCCGGGAGATACGGATTTGGGGACTATTTTAACCACGGAAAACTTAATATTCAAGGAATCCATATTTCTTTTCATCTTTCTGTGGAAGTTTTCAAGGGATACCGTGAGGTCTTTAATGGAGTGGTTTCTCGTTGATCTTTTGTTGTCTTTTCTGTTTGAACGAAACTCGTAACTCGTAACGAAACTAATGAAACCATAAACATTTCCAATGTTAAAAATATTTTGTTATGGAAAAGAATCAGTCTTGCCCTCCAGTTAAGAAGGATATAATTCTGAAAGAGTACATTACGTAACGAGTGCTGAAAAAGATAAATTTCGTAAAAGTGCGAAATATATGCACCTAAAAACGAAGCGAGATACCGGTAACCTTTTATCAAAAACTGTTTTCCAAGCGCTCAGCCTATTGCATTAACAAGTGGTAATCATTGTTTTCTAATAGTCGACACCTGATAAGAAAACAATGATTTCTAATTTTTATTAAAATAATTTGTGTTTGATGGGATTGCGGCCTATATGTTTTCTAATTGTTTCAGCTTGTTCCCGAAATTATCCTACTTCTGACCGCAAGCGGCACAGGATTGTACTACCGTTACATTACCGAAAGTGCACATCGTCGCACTTTTGAAAGTACGCGAAGTTGTATAGAATCAAGGGTGAAGTTGGAAGTAGAAAAGGAACAGCAGGAACAGCTTCTGTTAAGTGTCATTCCAGTGTATATTGCAGCGGAGGTAAGTTAATCAATTCAATGAAACGTCATCCATGAAACCGCTTAAAAGCTCTCGCTGAAAGGTCTGAAAAAACATGGAAGCTGTTTTAGCATTTTTTAATAAAATCCTCCTTTCGCATGCCCTGTGCTTTATTTAACAAATTTACGCTTTTTTTAATAAAAGTGATATCTCAATTTTTTGCCAGCCAGAAATGAATTAGGAAAGTAGATATAATCAAAAGAAATTTAAAAGCTTTGCTCTCAAAGAGCGAAAATGGAATCAGAGGAATCGCTTTGATTAATTCCCGATTTATTTTCTAAGGGAAGTAATTAAATCATGCTCCCTACGGTTTCGATTAGTGCGCTTAAATCTTATTTGTGGTTTCAGGTGAAGAGGAGTATTATGATTAAAATGTCGGAAGCATGCCACGAGGGGCCGAATAAAGCTCAAACGTTTCACGAGATGCACGTGCAACGCTACAACAACGTGTCCATACTCTACGCGGACATCGTTAATTTCACTCCACTCTCTGAAAGACTGTCGGCCTCCGATTTAGTTAGGACCCTCAATGAACTGTTCGGTCGGTTCGATCAAATTGCACAGGTAAGTGCCATTTGGAAAGTAGCAGCGCTAGGTTTAAGTGGCACGTTGAAAGCACTTTTCATCCCCATTCTTGAAACGCTGTTTACACCTAAAAGTGCCACAGTTCAACTTCACACGGTCCTTTATACATAAAGTCACGTCTATTAATGGTCTGCATCAGAAACATAATATTTCAGATGGCCAAAAAGCTGAAATTTTTGGAACAATGGGGACCTACTTTGCAAACTGCGTGAGATCTAAGGTAGAAGCTCCAGATTCACGTATGATTAATGCGGATTGCCATCAAACAAATGAAATGCTGTTCCTCATCTCCATAATGAGCGTTTAATCTGCCTCTTGATAAAAAATGTAAAATTCCCCAGAGGAATCTTAAATCCTGCAAGATTATTTCTTATACAAATTAGGCGCATTACAATCGAGTATGATAATATAAGTTAATATACGCAGTTCGAAACCTTTTTAAACGCGCTTTCTTTCATTTTACTTTGGAAATTGGATATTTCAGTACAAAAGGAATAGTGGAGCATATTAATTGTTTAATTAAACGGCGAAATGGTTCATGTTGACTACGGCGGCAAAAGAACGGATATTAGTTGGTTCAGTTTCAGGAAAACGAGCTGCCGAGTTCCGGAATATAATTATAATTATCGACTAATTTCAAGTTTATTGCAAATTGCATTTCGTTCTTAACTGCGACTATCGTTTCTAAGATTCATTGCTTCATTCATTTTCCGATCTACATAAAGATATCCGTCCTTACACAAAAAATTATTGGATATTATATTCCAATCAAAATATTCAGATGATTAAGGGGTAACTATTTTCATACACGTGTAATACGAAGGGGTTTCCGTTAAGGCAGATGGGATTTCTGCAGCTTCCAAGTACAGCTTACGTTAACCATAGGATAGCAAATAAGCCCCTAAACAGCATCTAAACAAGTAAAAAGGTTTTCGCCCTAAAGCGGGGAACTTCAGCGCATTTTCCATTAATGATCAGTACTTCCCAAAAGACCATAGCTATGTGCGCTGTGATTTTATTTACTAGAGGCATATATGGTTAAAATTTCAAATAAATATCTCCATAAATAAGAAAGTTACCATTGCGCAGTCTGCACATGCGCACAACTGATTTTTACTATATGCGATATATTTGCCTTCACCGGAAGGATCTGTGGTTAAAATTTCAACAAAATATATTAATAAATAAGGAAGTTGACATTGCGCCGTTTATTTGTCAAGATTTTCCTTGGCTCAGGTGCTAGAGCTATACGCTACCGAATGCAAAAAGAACGAACTTAATATCTTCAAAACTGTAGGAGTAGTTAAGGCCTCGGACAGACGGACGGACAGAGAAAGTGGCTGCAATAGCGCACCCAACTTCGTTGGAAAATGCGCTAAAAAACGGCAGAACACCTCGGTGTGACCCTACGAGGTCATTGGATTTGATCCATTTTCAATAGGTTTATTACTTGTGGCATATAGGTCAACTGTGCAAAGTATGAACCATATCGGTCCAAGCGTTTGACAGTTATCGTGTTCACGGACGGACAGACGGACACCATCAACTTTCCCATAAAGCTTGCATCGCTCTGCTCTGCCGCCTAATAAAGGTGAGCGTCGATCTCGAACATCATCAGAGTTAAGTTCAGTTGCACCGAAGTTGAAAAGATCCTCAGAGAGGACATTCTTCAAAATTTCTTAGATTAACAAAGTTACGATTGTTGCGCGGATTCCGCCGAAGTTCTTCACAAATCCCTCGGCAAATCCCTAAGAGATTATTATTCAGTGAAATTTAGGGATCCCCAAATTCGTCATACACAAGATTCACTTAGTCACATAACATTTTCGAAAAGTAGCAAAAACTACAAAAAAGTGATTATCTGGAAAAGATCCCTGAAAAATGTTCAGTGAATCTTTTAGAATCTTTAAAATATCTGTGAGGAACCACTAAAGAATTCTGAAAAATCTTTAAAAACCGTTCAATAGTCCTGGAAGGAGTTCTGAAGGAAACCGTGTTTATAAATACTCCAAATCTGGTTCAATCAAATTAAATTCTAAAAAGACTCTAACCGTCCCCACAGCCCCAAACTCGTTTTATATTCAAGCAATTTTAAAGGTTGGGTCGCTTGCTACATGTTCATGCTGAAGATAATCGCTTACGAGACTTAGGAGAGGGTTGTTTTTTTTGGGCGAATTAACAAAATGTCAATGAAAACTGACGGGATGACAAACGTCAGGTTCTTTCAAAAAGCAGCAGTAGTTAGGAATTACTTAAAAAGAGCGAAGAGAGGTTGCAAGTTCTTAAAACAAGGGCGTTAATCCAGGGGGAGGTTCTTAGTAAGATTGAAAATTTGATTCAGAGTAAATCAAGGAGTTTCTTTAAATTGTTGAACAACTTTCATTTCAAAAAATGTAAGTCTGAGACCTTGACTGCAAAAATGAAGGATCTGCCAGTTGGTTGACAAAGGATGATTTTGTTTAAAATTATTGACTTTTATATTATATAAGAGAGGCTGTCAGGGTGTGCGTACCTTTACCACGTATGCAAGCGATCGATGGACAATTAATTAAAGAAATCTTAATTACTTACAGTATTTAATCATCAAATTGTCTGGTAGTTAATCAATTTTTTTTGGCGCACAAAGAACTAAACCAATACTCGCTGACAGCTTCAAAAACTTCACTTCTTTTCTTTTATACTACCTTCATAAAATCATAACATGAAATGGCTTCGTTGAGTTTGATTAAGTGGCTTCCCGAATGGTGGAAAAAATCTTACTTTACCTAATACTTAGAGAACCTTGAAGAGAGGCCTCACTAGGCCTAGGTCAGATGCGGATAAAGCGTTTACAACTTCTCACGAACTCGCTTAATTCATTTTCAATAAACAAGCTTCACTTTTAAAAAGACGAACGCCGTCTTAAACCCCAACAGGCTGACTGCCCAAACACCCCAAAAAAATTGTTTCAAACGTGAACTAATACTGTTGGACTACCACCAAAAAATCCCCGTTTTTAGGGGAGCCTTTCAAAAGAAATTCACCCTATGTGATGGACCGTCCGTCTGTTCCTCGTGTAACTCGAGAACAAAAAGAGAGCGACCTCTGCAAATCGATTTCACGACGTGTTTCCGAATGCGAGCTTAGTGTCAAAAAACTTCCCTACTGAAAATCGTATGCCCTGTATCTTGTTCGTTATGTTCTAGCATTTGAAGGATCTTTTCAAATCTCCTTCTTTAAGATTTCGTAAACAAACAGTAAATGAAAACCAAATTTGATTAACGCCAGCTCCAAAATAAACTGCACGCCTGTGATAACACGTGCTTATCTTGAAACTAATTAAATTTCAACTTACGCGACGCGATAACAAATGTTCTTATCACAAAGCCCAGATAAACCTTTCAATACAACGGACAAATACGACCTGATGTTCATAAAGTTTAATACGTAATTTAAACTTTTACGATTAAAAAATTACAAGGCGATCAAACGAGACAAAACTTAAACGTTTAACAATTCTTATGCCAAATAACGTTGAACTTCAACTTTAAATAAAAAAGAACGAATTCCGTGTTTAAAGTTGAAAACCAGCAACCGAATTTACAAAAAAAAACTGATATTCTACATACAGGGTGACCCACTATTATTCTAGTTGCCGAGCCCAAACAAAAGGTCTGAAGACGTTGTTTGCACAACAATATCAGGGTGTATAAGCTGCAACAAACTTCATTTTGCATAATAAGCCACTTGGTCTTAGTTTAAGTATATGATATTTTAACTCGTAGGGAAGTTAAAGTCATATAACAATAATTTTGTTGAGTTGGTGCCACACTTTTCTTTTGTAATGCCCAGACATTTAATATTGCAAATTCAGCGCTTCACGCGAACCTGCATGGTTGTTATCATGAGTTATACTGACTTCATGACCCACGCGGAGACCAGTGACTCACGTAAACCGTCACCCCTAAAACTCAAGGGAAATTCGAAACAAGTGCTCCCGTTACAAGGGCGGAAAATATAAGTCAATACTCTATTGAAGCCAGTGAGTAATATAAAATATAAAAAATACAAAACACTTGGGTATTATATACAGTGTGTCCCCGGATGGACTGAACAAGAGGAAATAGTTATTTACGTTATAAGTCCGGTAGGTTACTTGTAACAGTACGAGTTAGACATTATGGACGAGGCGACGTCAGGAGCCGAGTCAAGAATGTCTTAAACGAGTACTGTTACAAGTACTACCGGACGTATATCGTAACGTATTTTATTTCATACTGTAAGTCTGTTTTGTATCATTATTTCATTTCAAAGATTACAAAATTTCATCATATTGTAAAAATCGCATTACCTTGTTTCTGTGACAACGGCCGTTGCTATAGTTTGTAGTCTGTTGACAATTGATTTTTTTTCACTGACAAATTGACGTTATAAACGTTGTGGGATGTTCCAATGTTCCCGATACAATCCTGTCGAAATCTCATGAAGCAACCGAAAAGTTGGTTCCTAAGAAGTCGGCCGCAAGGTATGAAAAAGAGTACTAAGTGTTTTGCCAATTGAGGAACGAACATGGGGCGAAACAAGTAGAGGAAAAAGTCATGTTGGCATACTTTTTGGACGCAGTAAGTTTTTGAATTGAGATTTTTTTGCCTGGGTTTCGGTGTTAAAGCGTCATGGAGCATGGAAAAGCTCATCGACGGCAGAAAAATACATCGAAGGCTCGGTAGAAGGAAAAGTTAAGATTGCCCGTATGATACAACTGATACAAGGCGGCGAAAATTTCATTGAAGTTTTACAGCAGAAGGAATCAAACATTACTAACTCGACATTCAGTAATAACCCAGGCGTAGTGTTGAGGGCAATACAAATTGTTTCATTACAATCAATGTTAATGTTTGAAATAAAGAATTACAGCCAAATTTATGTTGGGGTTTTTAATTAATTGTGTGAAGATGTCAAATTTGATGTATACAAATAACAGTCCGGTAAGCGTTGCTTAG